AACAGCTGATGATGATTGGACTAAAGTATGGAAATAATTTAGATTTTTATAAAAAAAAAAAGAAAAATATTCATTCGATATTTTAAAAAGGTTGGAACAATTGATAAAGATCATTTAAGTATGACTATTAAAAATCTTCAAGAAAATACGGCTTATGCTTTTAAAATACATAATCAAGCATTACCATTATCTAATGATGAAAATAATATTATACAACAATTTAAATTTGAAACAGATGCAGGTTAATATATATTTTTGATTTTTTAAATAGACTTTCAAAAAAAAAAAAATTATTCGAAGTAAAATTTAAATTATTTCTATTTTTTTATTTTAGTTAAACTATATGATCCATCATTATTCTTGAAAAAAATTGAACAAAGTTTGGAAAGTGTTGTTGGTGGTGTTATGCGAGCTGGTAAGAAATACAAAAAAAAACAAAATAGGCTATCAGAGATCAAGTCTATTAATCATAATAATTGCAAATCTTTCATTAATAGATTATGCTTATCTGAAAGAAGATAAGTCATAGAAAATTAGATTAGACTGAAATCTTTGACACCAACCATTTAGTGATAATAACTATATATATGAAAATTCTAGAAGAATGTAAGCACATATAGACCTCGAGAAATTATGAGTAGATCATAGTAGACTTACGAAAATAAATATGTTGACATATGGATCTAAGAAATACGATGATTATGATAAACAAAGAAAGGCATCTCTGTCTTTCAGCTATTTTACAGTATAATAAGTGTCTAATATCACAACTTAGTCAACATGTTATCAGACGAATGACCCGAAGTCAACATGCGTTGGGGACTTGTCCGGGGTCATTCCATGATTAGCAGTACTGTAGTATGAGCATAATGTCAGTTAGATACATGTTAACCAGCATGGTCATTCAGCTTCTAAAAAAAACACCCTCAACTAGACTAAGTTTCATAAATAAAAGTTCAAAATTTTTCAACAAAGCCTTGTCGACATCTAACACTTTTCAAGATGTGTATAGTTTTCCATAAATTGCATACACAACATCTATTTTTGGAAGCTACTCTACTTAAGTTTTCTTTATATCGGAATTCGAGTTTTTCGAACACTTGAGGCTTCTAAAGAAAATGAACAGATTAAAAATTCCATAGTCTAGTCTCATTTTTCTAAGCATAAACATTCTTATTCTATATAATGTGTTCCAATTACATAAGAAAATTAATTAACACATCAATGGATTTTAGAAAGTACGCTGTGAATTGAAGCAGTTAGTGTCAAATTCTTGTTATAGCTTAATGAAAAATCAACTCTATACGTAAATCACATCCATATGAAACAACTTTCCTTCATTCTTAACATATGTTTAGTTCTGGAAAACGGTAACAGACTCCCCACAAAGTGTAACCACATCAGTACACATGTGTAATAGTTATGTTTCAAATATCATCTTCTTCTTTTTGTGATAACTTTATCTCAACCATGCTGTCACCAATATTTTCATCGAAATCGTCATTCAATAGACGAATGTTGTCACTATCTCTAGTCTGAGTCTCGTTAAAAATCGCTTTGAAATAACTTAAATATTGCCTTCTCATTAAGAATGTCTACTGAAGAATAATCGTTAGTTTTTAGTAATATGTATCTTTTTCATTATAACTTTGATCAAAATTCATTTGAAAACTGTTAGTAGATATAGTTGAGAAAATGACAAGTCTATTTTCAAAAGTTTTACAGTTGCAGCATTGAATGAAATCGAGTTAATCTTATGACATGAGTTTATTATTTTAGAGCTTACTAATTACTAAGATCTCGATAAAGAGTCACGACCTTTGTCGATACTAGAGTAGATATATAGGCCGCCTTAACTCCTAGGAACAAAAACGCCAGACAAAGGCTGTTTGTATGCCTATTTGCGCTAAATGTATGTTTTTCACAAAGGAAAGAATATGTGTCAATTATCACTTCAATAAATGTAAACTAATGAAAAGCAAATTATTACTTCCAATTAAGGTTTATTGTCGCATGTATGCACACACGAGAAATATGTAGCACTTCATAGAAAGTTCGCTACTTTTATTCAGGATTGGAAAGGGGTCGAAATTGGAAGTTTTAGTAAAATTTTGTATCGTTGAATAGAACGTATCGAATTATCTGTGGAAAAATTCTTTTTTTGTTATTTGAAAAATATTATAAGAATTATCTCGTGATTCTGCAGACAAAATTAACCAAATGAACCGTAATGTACATTACAGTTCGTTTGATCAATTATCTCTGCAGAATCTCAAAATAATGCTTACAATATTCTATAATGTCTCAATAACATATCTGTATTAATGGATGAATCTAATCATGATATTTAGAATTTAGTCTTTTTTTCAATATTGTCACAAAAAAACTTCTTTCAAACAATCGAAAAAGTAGTTTTTCATAGATTATTCGATGCGCTCTATTTAATGATACTAAATAAATTGAGAACAAAAATTTGTAATGTCTGACTCTTCTAATTCTATTATTATTTTATATTAAGCTGCTGGTCATCAAGCTCTTGAGACTCCAGTAAATATAAGTTTAAATGAAGTAATTAAAGAAATTTTTCTGGATGAAAATCTTGTACCTAATGAACAATATGGTTTTGATACATTAGCATTAACTAATGATTTACAATTATTTCGTGGTCCAAAACAAATGATGTTACAAGAATTAAAAGGTAATGAAACAAGTGAAACATCAAAAGTTGATGGTGAAATTATCATACATAATTATCGTTCAGCACAACAAGAACAAAAACCAGTTTTTGTACGAGAAGAAAATGGTAATACACGTGTTGGAAATATAGATGGTGATGTTATTGTACGTAATGTTGTAACAGATGTTTTATTAACAAAAGAAGAAACACATAATCAATTATCAATGAATATTGTTGGACAAGCTTTTCTACGAGGTTTTCAAGGAATCTTAATTGCATCAAACTTTAAAGGAATTATTGTCGTCAAAAATGTAAATAAGCCGTAAAAGAAAAAACGAAATTTTTTTTTGCTGCTTAGTCGATTTGAATGTTTGTTTGTTTTTCATTTATATTTAAAGAAAAAAAAAAAGAATAATTTAGCTGTAGTTTATAACATATATACTATGAATGCAAAATGAAAGATTTTTCTTTTTCTTTTTTTTTAATATACCAAATGAGTTTATTTGTCAAAGAATGAGCGTTTCTTATCATTTTCACTCTGTAATATCAATTCAACTTAATTGATTTTGTTATACTCACCAACCAAATAATTAGTACTGCAAAATAAATTTCTGAATATAGAATAACATATAGATATATATACATTTGTGTAGCTATTCAACGATAGAATAATCAATAAATAAACTGCAACTATTCAAATGACATTATATTTAAGATATAACTCAAAGTTGTGAACATATACAGCTAAACTTCTATAAAATATAGTTAATTATGATTAAATCATTTTCAAATGTTTGTTGAAAGTTTTTTTTTTCTAATAATTATCACTGATAAACAAATTCATTGGTTCAGTCTATAGCCCTTATTATGAGGATTCGATATTGAATAGGACACTTGAAAATAACATAGTTCAGAGCTTGTAGAATAATTACAATATGTTTTTCATTGAAATAATAAAACTATTTTTATGAGTATGTTATCCAACTTTCTCAGAATGAACTTCATTGGCCTGAATACTATTGAGGACTGGCTTGTTGATCCACACGATAACAAAGCTGTCAAGTTAACTTAGAATAAATATCAAAAAGAAAGATCACAACTATACAATTATATTCAAATGGCACAAAGTGATAGTGAGCACCACTCATTTCATGGTCAATGTTGATTTATCCGAGTATACTGTACTAGTCTAAAATAAGATGTTACTAAAGTCTTGGAATCTGAAAAACTACATCAAAACGAATATACTAATCAACAATCTGTTTTTATTATGAAAAATCAAGATTTTCTATCACTAGACAAATTGAAAAAACCTCCACATGGAACAGAAATATATACCGATGATGCACTCAGTTCAACAAACATATTTCTTCTTATAAATAGAAATCTCATCACTATACATGAAAGTAATAGTGGATTAGAAGAAAAATTTGAAAAGATCGATTCTACATTGGACCAAACAGCTTTAGATACACAGTTACATCTAACAACAATGCTCAAATCGATCGAATACATACGATTATTCATTCAACAGATGATCTGGCTGATTTTCAAGTGGACTTAGTTATATCTTGTAACGATAATAAAGAAAATGATTAACTAAAATTCAATATTCCTATTCATTCAAAATAGCTTGTTAATAATGAAAGTAATGTACAAACAAAAATAGATATTACTTCGAAATAAAATGACGGAAATTATTCGAAAAATAACAAATCAAATTTTACAAAATAAAAATTCATATGAATTGATTTATAAATATAAATAACTTCAGTACTCGCAATGAGGAGGCGAGATAAGAAAAAGAAAATCAAATGCTGTTTTAGAATTTTTTTAAATTTTATTCATGACAATTTCGATTTTTGATCAAAAACTTGCTCGAAGAAACATTTTTTTTTTATTGAAAACAAAAAATTTGTCCTCGAAGAGTTTAATAAGATTCTACTTTATGACTTGAGATTTGTATCAGTAAATTATTTCCCACGAAGCTACAGTATTTACCTTTATTAGTAACGAAAAACGAAAATACAACGAACTTAAAGTATAAATATACTTATAATGATGCAATACTCTATATTAATATCGTCACATATATATTCATCGTAGTTTATATATCATTGAAGTATTTGATTCAGTCAAGCGTTGAATCCTAATTAATCTTTTCATTTTCTTTTGGTTCTTTATATATCAAAAGAACAGACTCGATCATTATCTTCATTTCTTTTTTTCTTATTCATTCATTCCTAATTTTGTTTTATACAATATACATGAATATAAATAGTTTCTAATTCAAAATCTATCTACAGTCTAGAATAATAATCAAATGAAAGCAGCATTTCTTGGTCATCAATATTTGACTGTAAAATCAATTAACGAAAACAATGTTTATTTCAATTCTGGAGGACTTCGTAGTAGTCGAAAATATGAACGAATACATTCTAAACAACAACCAACTACTAATTCAATAGACCCACCAATTTCAGCTTCTGATCCACTGTCACATCGATCGATTACAACTCAGAAACAATCTGAATCAAATGTACCATCAGTAGCTATTATCGAACGAAGTTATAGTGATTCAAATGATCTTTGTGTTGTTTCTGATCAACAATCATCGATCGATACTCAATTTCGACATCATGTTGAAAGTAGAAACGTTTTTTCTATTGATTTTTCATATGTAAATTTTTCTTTTTTCTTTCTATTAGATAGTAAACCGTACTCGCTGAAAGCCCTTATTAGTAAGAGACATGGTGAGTATATGCTAAGAAGCAAACCTCTTCAGCTGGTTCCTTCCAATTTCAATGATTTTTGTCTATAGATACTACACAATGTTTTAATAAAAACTCAAAAAGGATTTGAATTCATATGGAGATTCGAAGTCTCTTATCTTCAAGAGACTTTGTTTAAAACTTGTGAATTTTTAAGGGAAACTAGTCTAATTAAGTTCTTTATATTCGTAGGATTTTAGATCAAAACTGAAAAATATGAGGTTTCCAAAAAAACTGGGACGTCGAAAAAAAAAATTCGATATCTTAGTTAAATTTCAATAAGAATCTAAATACTTTTAAAGTATTTATTAGAATACTGTAGTATCTACGGGTAAAAAAAACTCATTGAAACCGAAAGGAATAACTGAAGAGATTTCCTCGTAAATTAAATCAATATAGCATAAACTGAGTTTTTATTTAGGAAAACGAGATGAAGACGGAAAATTAAGTGGTCGTGTTCGTCATTTTTATAAAAAACAAGATGCTCTTATTGATTCATTTAAAGAACTTCATGAACAAACATCATTTGAATTTAAAAAAGAAGATGAGCATTTAAATAAACAAAAACGACACACTGATTGGCTTATTAAAGCGACCTTAATTTTCAATGTGGTAAGTAAAAAACAAAAAAAAATTAAACATTTAATAAAGATTTTCAATTCTTATTTATAGACATTGTTAATTGCTAAAATAATAGCTGCTGTCTTTTCTAGTTCTCTTTCAATTATTTCATCAGTTATTGATTCTGCTGTTGATTCAGCTTCAGCATGTTTACTTTTTTGGGTTATTCGTGTAATAAAACGTCGTGATCCTTATACTTATCCAGGAGGTAAATATTTCAATATGTTTCATATAAAGAAATGCAATATTAACATATTACAGGTCGTACTCGTCTCGAACCGCTTATCATTGTAATTCTATCAGTTCTTATGATTTCAGCATCAGTTCAAGTTATTTATGAATCAGTTCAATCATTAACAAATTATGTAAATTATTTTACAAAAAAATCAACATCTTTACGTCATATTGAAATGGGACCAGCACCTATTACTGTCATGTGTGTTACAATAAGTAAGTATAAATCTATTACCGGTTTTTGAAAACAGTGCGCTCGAGGAGCTTGCTTATAACTTTTTAAGGAAAGGGGACAGAGATCTGCGGTTTTCGCCGTTGAAAAGAGGAGATCAAGGCACATTGAACCGTATAATAAACATTTTTCTGACATGGTTTGTCAAGGTTTTATGTCAATTATCTAAAAAAACTACGCCTTAACAAGCTGGAAAAATTATTTTTTTCAACAAAAAATTTTGAAAAAAGTGATTTTTTTCCGCAAATTTGTTGGAAAATTAGGTAGGGGCTACCAGTAAAATGGATACAACTCCTGAGCTATAAAAGATACAGATCTGGGGCTGGTCTAGAATTGTAGATCTCGATCCGGCTATTAACTTCACTATTTGGAAATCAAAATCCGACATATGCTCAGGGAATGGCAATCTCGCCAAGCTTACATCCGAGGGTTTACCTTGGTAAACCTTACTTGAAGGTCTGGTTATTTCATAGTAATACGTACCCTGCTGTGCTCTATCGAACAATGAAAACCGCAGGTCCCTATCACCTCTCCTTGAAAAGTTAAAAGCAATCTCTACGAGCGCACCGTTTTCAAAAACCAGTACTAGTTACTAGTTTACAATTGTATAATGATGTTTTAGTTTCTAAAGCAATTCTATCATTTCTTTGTTATCAAATACCAAATCCAACAATGTATGCTGTTGCACAAGATCATCGTAATGATGTTTTTTCAAACATAATCGCACTTGCATGTGGTATTATTGGTAAGAGAGACACTATATATATATATCAATATTCATTTTTACTATAAAAAAATTTGTTAGCTTCCAAAGCTCTTGATGGTTCAATAAAAGCAGAAGAAGTTGTTGCACAGTGGGGAACCAGGCGGACATGACCTCAAGTTGTATTTTCCAAAGTCTAAATAATGGAATGAATACTTCTATGGTTAGTCTATCTTACCCTAAAACTAGATTTTCAGAAATCAAGTCACACGCTAGGAAAGTCCATCGTCAAAAAAATTGTTGATAAATCGGTAATTATGCGGATACCATTTTTTTTGTCAGCTTATCAAAGTATTTTAAAATGAAAAACTATTTGGAACGAATGATTGATCTATGAGCTTTATTGTGTGAAAAAATTATTTCGTTTGAACCAGAAATGGAATAGAAAAAAACTAACTACTGGGCCGAAAGTGGGTCGAAAAATCGGTCATACCGTATTTTGTGGACGCTACAAAGAGTTTTAATCCAATTGAGCTGAAATTTTCACCGATTATTCTCCCACGTTTAATGTATCGTTGATCATAGCGCCGTATTGAAATAATGAACACAGGCCGAGTTAGAGGTATTCCAAAAAACCAGGTTTTTGCCCCGGAATCGCTAGTTTTGCGAATATGAGAACATTTTGACGCAAAACCAAGGTGATATTCAAAATCAGCTCGTCGAGGTGCATCCAATCATATGCAACAGTATGTGCTTCTGAGAAAAAAAATCGGTTCCTAGGAACCGACAAGGTTTTGAAAACCAGCCTTTCCGTATTTTGTAAACGCTACAAAGAGTTTCAGTCCGATTGACCTCAAACTTTTCGTGATTGTTCTTTCATGTCTGGTGCGTTGTTCACCATAGCGCCATCTCGCGCCGATGAGCATAGCCGGCGCTACGGGTTTCTCAAAAACCTAGGTTTTTGGCCCTAAATTCCTATTTTTCACAATAAGCTATCGTTTTGATGCAAAACCAAGGTGATATTCGGAATCAGCTCATCGAGCTGCATCTAACGATATATAATAAAAAGCCGTTTTTTCGAAAAAGTTTTTTTGACCTTTATTAAGGAAAAGCTTAAAAACCTAAGTCATCTCGTGTTTTTCGAACGCTACAAACAGTTTTCGTCTGATTGAGCTCAAGTTCTTATTAATTGTATACTTCCATGTTAGTTTATCATCGGCTATGTGTGTCGTATCGCATCAGTGTCCGTAGACTGGACAATGGATTTCCAAAAAACCATGATTCTCGCCTAATGTTCCTTTTTTGCCCTTAAAATAGCATCTTAGCGAAAAATCAAGGCGATATTCGGAATCAGCGCGTAAAACTGCGTCGATTGATGTATGATAGAAAACATTTTCTAACAAAATAATTTTTTCGAAAACTTTGGCTGAGGTCCCCCACAGGTGTTTTTTGGCAAAAAAAGTTGTTCTTCCAAAAAGTGGTTTATTTCGTTAAAGACGATTTTCTAAGTGATATATAACCACTTCTGAGCTATAAAAGACGATTTTAAAGCAAGAAAGTTACATGTCCGCCTGGTATGCGGAAGTTCCCCACTGTGTGTTGTTCTTGATCCGATTGGTGCTATTCTTATATCATTTTATATAATATTTTGTTGGTTAGGACAACTTCGTGAACAAGTACGAAATTTAAGTGGTTATAAAGCACAACCTGAATTTTTACAAAAAATTACATGGCTTACATTACAACATTCACCATTAATAAAAAAAATTGATACTGTTCGTGCATTTCATTTTGGTACATCATTTTTAGTTGAAGTTGAAATCATTTTGCCTGAAACAATGTCTCTTAAACAAGCACATGATATAAGTAATGGATTAAAAAATAAATTAGAAAGTATATCTGAAGTTGAAAGAGCATTTGTACATTTGGATTATGGTGTTGATGCTCTTGCATATTAAATCAAAAAAGATTCAACGAATTATAGGTTTTTGTTTTTGTAAATAATGTATTTTAGATAAACAAAATTTTTTCTTATAATTGATTGAGATAATTTATATACACTCGCTTTTTTTTTTATGAATAATTAAAATAAAAGATACGATAAAAAAGAAAAACTTTAACAGTTCATTTAGTAGTATCTTTAACAACTTCTTGATATCGATAAAGATTTTATAAAACTCTTATGATAATGTCAATATATGATTGATTATGATGGATGATTAGATGAAAAAGGTCTTTTATGAATGTTAAGTAATTATGTATAATATAAAAATCCAGTTGGTTTATTTCCAATTCTATATATATATATTGCAGAGATAGTATTATAATTACTATGCATTTGAAAATAGACGTTTTCAAGTTTTAACAGACATATTCGATACAGAAAATTATCTTATTTTGAACTATATAAAATCCGAGATTTAAAGCTGGTAGTGTTAGAGAGTTATACGGATTTTTCAGAGATCTCGATTGTGGCGAGCTGGCTTTGAATTGCGCAAAAAATAGTTTCGGAGACTGACAACCGACCGCACTAACTCGAATAGTGATGTTTGTTGTGTACAGTTATCATAGTTAAAATTTCAAGATTTTCACCTTTGGTGTTGCTCAATTGGGTAAAAACTGATTGCATGATCTCGTGATTCTAAAATGATACTGGTCATCAAAATAGCGGAGAAAAGTTACCGTTTCGTTAGCAAGTGATAGATAACCGAAAATTCGTGGATTTGATTCTTTCGTGAGAACATAGCTATCGTGGGAAAGATAATGATTTTAAGGATCGACGAATTTGAATCGGTAATAGGGTTCTCAGAGCTGTGTATTTGATTTCTCTGTCAAAAGTTCTTAACTAGTCTTTTCTGCTCTGAGAAATCATGCATATAATTTCAAGAATTCGATTCGAGATTCGAATGCTTTGATCCCAACAATCTTTGATGAGACTTATAAAATATCATTTATTTTAAAAAATATTCTTTCTTTCATAAACTCATGAATTCTTCGATACTCGTTACTGGGTAATTGGTAATGTAACGGTGATTTCTCAACTCTAATATTGATTATTATAATTAAAACAAAACGATTTTTTGTATTACTGAAAAAAAAAATAACGAATGATTTGAAATATGTTCATGGAATGATCGAAGGAAAAATAGGTGATATCAAATGCAATTATTGATTCTAATGGCACAGAATCAATTTTTATCCCTTAACATCATTATTCAATTCGATATGGTCAATTATCCTTGTTTAATAAATATTTCTATCAAATGTCATGATACAAGACTAAAAATTTTACTGTAGCGTTTTCAGTATAATATCTGGCACGAAATCGATTTTTGAAGAAGAGAAGCCTTAATATTACTTTTGTGGATAAATAGATATTTATAAAAGATTTGGTCAATATTTTGATCATTCTGTTGTGATAGAGAGTATCTGTTCTTTACTTGATTTGTTTTTTTTTATGATATTAGCATTGTACTTTACCAGGCACTTTGTTGCATGGATATGATTCAAAAACAGTTTATTTATATATATTTTTTTTTGTCGATAAAGTAGTTTCTTTAATTAATTTTAAAAGGACTGCAAACGACTCTAAATATAATCCGAGATATTTCCACTGATAGAATTACTAGTTCTAACCTTAATCGTTGAACAAGTTTTTGTCTAAAGGAAAGAAGTTTAATTATGATGATGGTTTAAACTATCAAAACTTGTATTACATACGAAGAATCTGTATTTTATGTTGGTCTTATTTGCGGTTCGATTCAAGATCCTGACATCCTAAGAAGACGTCTGGTATACAGCTCTAAGTAAGAATGACTAGTTAAATTTAATCCAAATGAACAAGTTCCAATGAACTTTGCTTTTAAAAATAATCAGATCTAGTTTGAAAATTTTGTCTTTACGGATTACTCTATCGCTCTGTGTAGTCTAAACAAAATTATAGTTACTGAAAAACTATCCCTTTGGTTTTCTGCAGTCCTTTTTTCTGGAAACCTGATAATAATTTTGAATTTCGTATATTTTTATTTGAAACTAATCTCTCTATTAGAATAAATATTTGGATTCTTTCTGGCGCTTTGAACAGAGAAAAAAATTGAAATTAAATCTTTTTGAAGTCTGATGTTTATCTATAGTTAATGGATTGTTTTGATCTTGTTTCAGTGCAAGTTTTCTGTGTTAATGCTATTGATTTGTACTTATAAGAGTCAGTTACTTTTTTTTTAATACCTAGTGCAAATGTTAAAAAAATATTATCTATATATTATCTATACTGATAACAGTTTGATTTGTTGAAAACCTATTTATAGTTAATCAGATTTTCAGATGAATATATATATATGCTTTATTTCCAAAGGGATGATAAGGTATTTTATTAAATAAATCAACCACATTAAAATTAACTATCTTTTGGTTTATGCTAACTTATTAATATCTTTTATTTTCGTAATAAATTCAAAAGCGTTCCTAATGTAAACGAACCTCATTGAGAAATGGTTTATTTATTAGTGTTGACAGTTGATTTGACAATACGTAATTAAATGTGCCTTTAGAGGACAACATGGGATTTGGAGGACAGCTTATTTTGTATATTTTGGATTAATCATATTGACAGTAAGAACAATTGAAGCAGATCAAAGATGAAGACATAAAAAGTTATCAAAAACTCATTTTCGGTGAAGTTTTCAGAGATAGATGTCCATAAGTTTTTGTATACAAGCAAGGCTTATTGAGAATATTTAAACTATTTCAATTGCGGACTTTTGCTCTGCTCTTTTACTATACAATCGTTTTCTGTTCAGGATAATAATAGAGTTAATATTCTAGAGCACGAACTATGAATATTCTAAAACGAGTTCGTGTCTTTAACGTATTGCTACGAGGATATTGCATTTTTACGATATTTTTTAAGTAAGAATCGTGGTAGCCGAAAAGCTAATGTTCGAATTTCGACTTGAAAATTTACATAGAGATAGGTTTTAACAAAAATAGTTTTTTTTTGTGTGTTTCAAAATCAGGTTTTTTGTTATCGCGACATTTATTTACAAATTATCGTAACAGTACAGAATTTGCGAACAATAAGCTAAAGACAGAAACTCTTTTTAGGATATTCATATCTTATTTAGTTTTCACATAATACACATAGTTTTGATTGAAAAGCGATTGAATAATTGAAGAACTTTTCTCGCTATCTTGATAGAGATAGATTTTTCTTCTTTCGGAATTAGATCGTATCTATAACTTTAGACTAATGACTATGATTGAGTAAATACCAGCATAAATATACGCTAAGATATACTTTGTGTAAATATAACTCGACGTCTTTTGACATTAGAATAAGATTTTGAAACTTCGCTCTATCATCACTCATCATATGATAATAAATATGTTTTAATGTATTGATGTACTTTCTATGAACATAGCTATTTTTGTATTACAGATCATTACATTGAACTCTGTGTAAATATCTCGACATGATTGTTTTGATATGCTAAGAAGCAAATTTGAAAGTTTCTTATTAAATCAATCTAACCAATTATTTTTGAAGTTACAAGATAATTCAAAAAAATAATTAATTCTTATTTTTCTTCTTCTTAAAACTATGCATGAGCTCTCTTTTCATTCTTATTCAAACATTTAAATGCATTATAAACGATGAAAGCATTCAGATAGGTCGAATAAATTGAGACAATATCTTCTAAAGTACTTAGAAGAAGAGAATCTAATGAATGAATAATAATGTATTAAATAATGAAGAACTTTGAGTAGCATAATTGACAATATATAGGACTCATGGGATAAATATCCAAAATCTTCAGCTACGTTTTGATTCCTTCTTATTTATTTTTTGAAGTCTATTGCAAACTAAGTCGTTTTCGATGCAGTTTGATGAAGATGGCGCTGCAAAAAATTTATTATGAATAAAATATATTCTAAAACTGATTTCTTCTCGATTGATTAGAATTTTAATAGAAAACACTCTAAGAAATCATTTATAGCTGAAATTGTAAGCGTTACTGACGGTATTGACAACAGGTACGCACTATAAACCGTTTAATGGATGATATTTAAGTAAAAAAAAGCCTTCAAGAGTTCGGGTCCATGGCTTTATGGTAAAGATTTATGATTATTTTATTTAGAAACACTTGTTTCTGGAAAAAAAACTAAAATGAAGAGTTTTGAACTCAAGTTTTACACATAAATAGATGTAATAATAATAAAAGTATTCACGAAAACGAACATGTCTTTCTCTAGACATTCAATTTCCAAGTAGATTTGATTGTTGTATCCTACGATAGTAAGGACTAACGTGGGTGTGCAACTGAAGAGAAAACACACACCCACATCCTAATTGAAAATTAATATAGTAGAATAAATTCTCGTATTTATCAAAACCACCCACATATATGGTGTTTGATCAATTCTATGGAAGTAGAAGAAAAATATTTATAGAATATTATACGTCAATGCCCTTGTGATGCATCGAAGCAAAAAAATAAACAAACAGCAGCATTACAAAGTCGAATAAACATGTCGTATAATCTATATAATAACTATTTCATTACAGTGTCTGGTCTCATCAATGATTTGTCTTTTATTATAGCATAAAAGAAAAAACAAAGTTATAACTATAATCAAAAGTTGATAAAATAATGTCTCAAAAATATTTTTGTTTGTCTTTCATTCTTTCTTTTTCAATAATAAAAATTTAATTTGAAATTAACTGTTTGTATATCAGAAAATATTCGGAAGTATTCAATGCAATTTTCGATCAAAGTTAAAACAATCATCAAATTTTCATTATAATGACCAAATAGTCTCCATCTGTAGACTAGAGACTCCAAATTCTTAATGATTTTTTTCTTATCTCAATATCATCTATTAAATGATGTAGAAATGAATTAAAACGGAGATGAATATCTCGAGTATTTTTCTCATTAGTGAATTCTATTAGTTTCGA